TGGTTTGCTGTATGTACCATAGGCTATCTTGCTTTGTAGCGAGGAGGCTGACTTTAGGTGATAAACTGTAGGTTACATTTTGTACAAGTATCAGTGAAGCTGGGAAGTTTTGTGAAAGACGAGGTAAACGTGTAAGATAGGTTGGCACTCGAGAGTTCAGGATATTAAAACAGCCTGACTGACATCACGTGATAAAGGGGAGAAAGGAGAGGACTAGTAATGTTGAAAGCAGTCAGCTTCTACCTGAGAAAAGGGAGTTAAGAGTATGAGAGGTACTCTCGAGTTTAAGAATGGAATGGAGACAGACTGACTTGTCTTTCCCATCCATCCAGAGCTACTGTTCTACTGAATCAAGAAGAACCTACTATTGATGTATATGTCTGGTATAAATACACAGGTTTATGTTTACCAAGTTATTTAGGCTCTATCTTGAGTAACAGACTTAACTACAGCCAGTTTTGAAATATTCTCTTATAAATTGGTTGAGTGACACATACCCTGACAAAAAGGCTGGAGTGAGCCTTTCAAACCCAGGTTTTCATGATTCCGGTCTTGTTCCTTTCATAGCCGCAAATGAGGCAAAACAAGCAGTTCTCAATGCTTGGTAACGCGTTTCTTGTTACCTGCAGTAAAGTGTCTACAATCTCTCAGGACTGTCAGCCTGCCACTGTATTCTTTGGTGTCCTCAGAATGGGTTTTATTCTGTGAAAAAATCTTAGGTTATTGTAGTACAACTGGCATTTTTTCAACTAAAACTTGCTCTCTTTGTTATAAGAAAAGGAATACCTGGACAGATACCTTCCGGGCCTGAAGCAATATTTCTGGCTCATCTGAGAGCAGGGGTGAGCATGTGGCTACCTACTCTCTAATAAGCATAAGTAGAAGACATTCCCAGGCTTTAGAGCCTTCATCCTTCTTGCTGCCTTCTATGAAGGTGTTGATCTTGTCTGGCCCAGCAGAGAACTTCAGGCGCTAGGGATGGCGGAACAATGACTTGGAAGGAACAACAGATCCCGATCAGGAGGAGCAGCGCTTCACCACAGAGCTGGACTGATCACAGTGGATCTGTTCCAAGTGACAAGACTTAACTGTCTTTAAGCTAATTTACTGTTGAGCCTCTTTTATAATAACTAAAGTTTACCCTACCAAGTACG